CTGTAAGAAAGAGCAAGATCCAAGAAAACAATACTAAGTACCACCTTGATAAGATGTGTGAAGAAAGTACTCTACAAAACACTGGTAACAATGCTGAGAAATCAGAAAGAAGGCATGCATCCACTCTGGTGGCTGTGGACGTGCATGCTGTTACGTTTACTCGCAAGGAACTTAATCTTGAAGGATGTCAGCTCTTCAGAAATGTGTCCCTTCTGGAAAATATGAGTATACTTCCATTCTATATGGTAAAATAATGTGGGCACAAACCAACCTTGTTCTCCTGCTCCCTGGCCTTCATTCACAGTGATCCTCTGTAGAAATTCTCCCTTGCTTTTCTGTGCACACTGACATCACTCTTCTGTAAGACCCTCTCCTACCACCCTGAGAGGAGTCTCATCACTCCAGCTCTTACAGCATTGTCACACCGAGTCTCTCCCGCTGGCTTCTGAGTCACTGGAGGACGAGAGCTAAGTTTCATTCATTTGTGTTTCATCATCTTCAAACTCCACAGATGACGCATATGTTTACTGATAGTTGATGAATGATCTCAAGAATTATGGGAGGGGAGTACTGTGTGTTTTGCTCTTGTTCTAATTTTTGCAGTGCTGGACATCAAGTGCAAAACCTTGTATGTGCCAGACAAGCTCTCAACACTGACCGGCATCCTTAGACCCTGCTTTTTTTGAGACAGAGTCTCACTATGTAGCCCAGGAGGGACTCTAACTTATGATCCTCCTACTTCAGCCTCTCAAATATTAGAATTATAAGTATGTACCACCATGCCCACCTAGGAGTAGCAGGGTTTTTGTTGTTTTGGTTTTGATTTTGGTTTTGTCTTTTCAAGACAAGATCTCCCTGCAGCCCCAGCTGGCCTGGACCTCATTATGTAGACCAGACTGGCCTCAATCTCATAGAGATCCACTTGCCTCTGCCTCCCAAGTAGTGGGATTAAAGGCATGTGCCACCACACCTTGACCAGGAGTAGTATTTTTAAGGTTACTGAGTCCTCTGGATTCATTCACTTAATAACTAAATACTCATGTAGTAAACACTAGAAATTTAAAAATCCAGTTCCTGCTCCTACTGCTTGCTGCATTTCAGGCAAATTACTTCAGGGGAAAAAAAGTGTTCATTAACTAATATTAAAGTGGAAAAGAAGTTAGCCATTATTTCACTAATAACTAATCAAAACAGGCTTCCACCCCCTTACCTTCCTGGTCCTCTTCTTCCTTCCAAATAACCCTACTTCTACTTTCATGTCTTTTTTTTTTTTTTATGTGTATGAGTGCATTGCCTGCATGTAGGTAGGCACACCAGTGCTGCAGTGCCCGAAGAGGTCAGAAGAGGGTGTCAGAGCTCCCAGAACTGGAGTTACAGACAGTTGTTAGCTGCCATGTGGATGCTGGGAATCAAACCTGGGTCCTCTACAAGAGCAGCCAGTGCTCTTAACCACTGAGCCATCTCTCTAGCCCCTCATGTCTTTTTTAAAAATCTAAATTCTTCATATGAGAGAACACATGTGACATTTGTCTTTCCAAGTCTGGGCTTATTTAATTTACCATAATAACTCCTAGTTCCAGCCTTTTCCACTAAATGACAAGATTCAGCTTTCTTTATGCCTGACTACTATGCTATTGTGTATATATACATTTTCTTTATCCATTTTCTGCTGATAGACACCTAGGCAGATTCCTAGAAGTTACATTTCTACCTGACTGTAAAAGGATTTACTTTCCCTATTTCCTCACCAGCATTTGTTAGTTGGTTGTTTGTTTCCCTGATCAGAGCTGTTCTGAATCTCCATGTACTCTAATTTGTATTTCCCTGATGACTAAAGGTGGTGAACATTTTATGTATTCATTGGCTGTACTTCTTGAGAACTGTCTATTCAGTTCATTTGCCCATTGATTGATTAGAATGTAAAACATATTTAATAATTATTCACATTTGGATATAAAGAACCAAACCTAGATCAAACTGTTAAAACATCTACCAAGTAACAAGTATTTTAAGTTATCTTAATTTGGATAGTTTTCGTTTTTCGACCGAGGTTTAATTTCCTGCTTCCCCTACTGTATGCCCTGAACCTTGGACTATGCTAGAAAAAAAGTGAGTGAATTCTTTTTTAGTTTTCACTCTTTTATTGATTTTTATTTTATGTGTATGAATGTATTGCCTGCATGTATGTAAGTACACCCCTATTGGCAGTGTTCACAGAGGTCAGACGAGGGTGTAGAATCTCCTGGAACTGGAGTTATGGATGGTTGTTAGCAGCCATGTGGATGTTGGGAACAGAACCCAGATCCTCTGCAAAAGCAGCCAGTGCTCTTAACTGCTGAACCATCTCTCTAATCCCTAAAAAATTATTTTAAAAAGGGATGTGTTAACATGCCCAAGCACTGGAGCTATATAGAACAGAAAAATTTAAAGAGGCCAGATGGTTGAAGTTTGAATACATTCCTTAGAGAGGAGATGGAAACGGAGGATGTAGGTAATTTTAGAAGGGTAGCAAATTACTTTCAGAAAAAAAGAATGGGCCCATAGTCAGATGTGGTAGCACACACTTATAATCCTGACGTTCAAGAGGCTGAGGCAGAAGGTTATGCGTTCAAGGCCAAATGGGGTATATGGCAACACTATGTCTCAAAAGTAAGATAAAACAAAACAAACCCGAAAATCAAACAAAAAAAGATTGAAGATAATGCCGCTTCAGTGGATTCAGTCTTTAGGTTGACGAGAGAACTTCAGAGAAAGCCCCTTCCTGTACCTTAGGAGAAAAAAGATGATGCACACCTGGGATAACAGTGGGATGAGGCGTCAGAGAGACCTTGAGGCAGCTGCTTTCTTCTGGCATGTCAGAGCAGTATGCTTTGGGGGTCATGTTCTGAGTCCCCACAATGGCATGGACTTTTCATAAACAATCTGGTAAAGTCTGTGGATCCCCCTGAATAATGTTATTTTGCACATAAATACACACTTATAGGGGCTGGAGAGATGGCTCAGTGATTAGGAACACTTGCTGCTCTTCTAGAGAACCCAAGTTAGATTCCCATCACCCACATCAGGCAGCTCACAACCACCTGTAACTTCAGCTCCAGTGGATCTGATGCCATCTTCTAGTCTCTATGGGCACCCACACACATATTGCACACACTCACATACATATGCACATACATTTAAAAATATTAATCTTTTAAAAGTACAGATTCACAAAGGAAACTCATTGAATTCAAGTAGTTATAAAAAATTGAGGAGGGGGCCGGGCGTGGTGGCGCAAGCCTTTAATCCCAGCACTCGGGAGGCAGAGGCATTAGGATCTCTGTGAGTTCAAGGCCAGCCTGGTCTACATAGTGAGTACCAGGACAGCTGGGGCTACAGGGAGACCACCCAAAAAAAATTGAGGAGGGAGGTCTTAAGACAGGGTCTTGAGCAACCTGGAGCTGGCAACACTTGCAAATAGCCTTAAATTCCTGATCCTTCTGTCTTCATCTCTCAAGTGCTGTCAAAAAATTTTTAAAGAGGGGGGCTGGAGAGATGGCTCAGTGGTTAAGAGCATTGGCTGCTCTTGCAGAGGACCTGGGTTCAGTTCCCAGCACCCAGATGATGGCTAATAACCAGCTCCAGTTCCAGGATATCAGACACCATCTTCTAGCTTCCACAGGTATTGCATGGAAATGCAGGCAAAACCCTCATATGCATTTAATTAATTAATTAATTTTGGGGTTTTGGAGACAGGCTCTTGCTGTAGCCCCAACTGACCTGAAGCTCACTCTATAGACCAGGCTGGTCTCAAACTAACAGAGATTCAGCTGCTTCTCTCTCCTGCTTGCTGAGATTAAAGATGTGTACCACCATGTCAGGCCAAAAAAAAAATTATTAAAAAAAATTTTAAGAGCTGGGCATGGTGGCATACGCCTTTAATCTCAGCACTCAAGAGGTAGAGGCAGGCAGATATATTCGAGTTCAAAGCCAGCCTGATCTACATAGAGAGTTCCAGGCCAACTGGGGCAACAGGAAGACCCTGTCTCAGAAAAGATGAAAAATATTTTTGTTTAACATTTTTATATAATATACTTGTGCTTTCTTGTTAATACATTAGGTAACAAGATCTATTGGTGGGTATAATAACTGTAATTTTGAAGTGGTAAAGAGCTTAACCCATATTTCAAGATTTATAACAATTATGACATGACAATAAATATATATTTTTATTAGTGACAGGATCATAGGTACCATTAATACCGTGCTTGGCTTCCTACATAATAATGGGAGAAATGACACATTTCATAGACTCTGGTAAGATTAAATATATTTTTTTTCATCATCCAAATTCACTGATTTCTCATACTTGTAACTCATACTCCATGACAAAATTCTGGAAGGATACATGCTATATCAAAGTGGGATAGGACGAGAAAAGGGGGAAAAGCAAACAGAAGAATTTAAATGTTTCCAAATCCTGTATCATTTGGGTTTTTTACAGCAACATCATATCAATGCATTACTTTACACAAACACAGAGATATTGGTCTGAAACAGGTTTTTACTACATAGCCATTTTTCTCATCATCTCACTTTTACCCTGTTAACAGTGAAGTCATGAACCTTCATTTTCTCATCAATGAGATCCCACTGGTTTTTAAGACCAGATAGAACAAGTTCCTAGTTAGAGATGTGTTTTGGGCATCTTCAGTGAATGCTAGAATAATTCAATTCAATAGTGAGCCATATATCTACCTTTTATGACATTTTTAATGAAACAATGCTGTAGCTTTCCTGATTCCTAATACCTAATAGTTTGTTAAGAGAACATTTAAACAGAGCATTATAAACTGATACTTCTGGGATTTATTAAACATCTGATTTATTAAACATCAGCATACTAGATGGTAAACTGACTTTCAAATTTGGAGGTATTAGAAGGTGTAGTAAGAGGTCCGTTCCTTTTCAGTGTACAAAGAGCAATCTTGCCTCGTAATGGATGACTCTTTTGTTGTTAGGAATAAAGATGGCTGCAGCACCAGCAGAAGGAGCTTACATCAACTTGATAGAAATGAAATTTGATGATGATACGCTTTACTTTATACGTAAGTCTAAACCAGTAAGACAAGTGCAGGGCTCAGATTCAGGTATTCAACCGGAAAAGAAATTATGAGGTGAACTGTGGACTCTTGTTTGCCACCAAATTCTATTGTGATAATAATGACTCTTCCTTCTAAAAAAAAAAAAAACTGAACCTCTAGAAATCAACCATACAACCATAGCATTCCAACAGTCCCAGTGCCGTGTCCCACTACATACAATGGCACACCAGTGGCAGCCAGCCATCAAGGGAATGCTTGTGGCCATCATGAAAATCCCACAAAAAAGTGTCCATTGAGGAAACATTGGTTCCCAAAGCAAACTGGAAAACTATGCTACCCTGTCTACAGTTCTGTGAGTTAGACCACTTTATGCAAATATATTTGCCAAAAAATGATTCTTCTGATTAATCTTCCATGGGCAGTTTGATTTCATTAAAAGTTTGGCTTTGTTTGAAAGTTTCTTGAAAAGTCCTTAGGTGTCATTCCATTTAAATAATACATTTAAGAAGAAAGTCTATTATTTTATTTTTTAAAAACAGCTGTGTATTGAAATTTATAAATCCTGGATTTAAATTTTATACCTAATTTACCTAAGGCACACTAACTCTAATAAGCTTAATTTTGTGGGCCTCTGGAATGATTATATATTTCCAACAGAGGCCAACAAAGTTAAACAGGAGTTAGAGAATGGGAAGTGGCAGCTCAGAGTTGTAAAGGGGGAAGGAAGGGGAAATTTTGACTTGAACTGTGTAATTTAACATATTTTGTTTCTCTTTTTCCCTCCTTAGCTGAAAAAGATGGTAAAGTACAAATCATTTTTCTTTCTTTGCAAATAAGTAGCTACTTGAGACATGTCCATTGTCATCTGGGAGAGATGTCTTTCCTAAGCAATTGATAATTGCAGTTATAGTAAATACAGATTCTATGGTAAAAGCATATCAGAATTTAATCAATCCTCATTTGATGGACTTTTAAGTCATTTGCA